AACAGAGAGCAATTATGAGAGAACTAATAAAGAGAGAAAGCAGAATAATAGCGCGCACGAGAGAGAAGCATCGCGTGTCATCCTCTCAGAAAGAACAATTATTATTGTTGCTTGAGTCGCAGTTTGCCGTTTTAATGACATCTTAATGATATTCTGGAAACATCAGGTATGAGCTATTATGCAAAGACCCCTCGTCATTGCACACAGAGGCTGCCATTCCATTCCCAGTGTGGAAACAGTGGTCTTTTTATTCTTGGATTCTGTATCCCACTCAACCTTGGTTGGCTCTGACAGACAAGTCTTTTGGTTTTACGGCACTTTCAACACGAAATACGTCATATAAGTGCCTAATAATAGAGGTGTTACTTGACAGTAATATGCGGAGAAACAGAGGGAGGAAAGACAAAGGCAATAGATGTTTGATAGGAAAGAAAGAGCAAACCACACTAGATCACCCGTCAGCTACCCTCAGCCTGTCTCTTAATCTCTTTACTGATATACCTTGCGTTGAAAATTTAAAATATATTTGCTTTGTTTTAGGCGTTTTTAATCCCCCCCCCCCAAAAACAATGAAAAAAAAAAAAAAAAAAAAAAAAAAAAAAAAAAAAAAAAACATATTGCTGTGTGGATTTTACTGAAAATTTTTGACCAAACGCATAAAAAAATGTAAATTTCTAATTTTTAAGGACACTAAAGCTTTGGAAGTCAACTCACTAATTTTACCGATGAGACTAAGTGACTTTCAACTCCTTAAATCACAAGTATATCGACTTCTATTCAAAATAAATGAGTATATTTTTCGCCAAATGCAAGTCAATTGAATAAGGTTTACGATGATACTAATAACTCCATAATATGCCCTAAAATTGACGAGCACCTGATTTCACCGCGTTGTGACCCATGTAGCCTTTACACCTTTTGTAGCACTGTAAGGTTATTTAATTAAGTGGAGGGACCTCCGAATTCAACAACCATCTCCGATAGAACCCAACCAAATGGGAACACTTGT